CCAGCAGATAGAAATAGCTCTCTTTCTCTCTCACACTCTACTTTTCAAATAAAGAAACCTTAAAAGATCCAGTGAGAGCATTTTCTCTCCTATGAAGTCTTCTCTGCAAACTATCATGTCTCAGGAAAAGAAGACAACTCCCTTCTTTTATCCTAACACTGGTAACACTGAAAAGAAATTACAGGCTGACATGTCTGCCTTAACCAAACCAGAAAGGTTTGTAAAGATTTCCTTGCTCACTTGCTACCTCCCTCCTTCCCTCTTTCCCTTCCTTCCTTCCCTCTTTCCCTTCCTTCCTTCCCTCTTTCCCTTCCTTCCTTCCTTCCCTCTTTCCTTCCTTCTTCCTTTCCTCCCTCCTCCCATCCCCCCTCCCTCCCTCCTTCCTTCCTTCCTTCCTCAGCCTCTTTGCATCTCTAAAATTTGAACACAGTACTTGGCCCATAAAAGGCACTCAACAACGTTTACCAAGTTAGGAGCAGGCACTGAGACACAATGGGTGAAGCTACCACTTGCAACACTGGCATCCCAAATCAATACTTTGTAAGGAAGCATGTATTGTAAATGATACTGTCAACGTATGTTATAAATGACACCATTATTTTCTCTTGGACTGTTGTTCGTGTTATATATCTTAAGGAGTACTATTAATGACTCACATTTCAATAGTGCCTTGTTCAATAGCTACCTGTTGGACAGAACTGTCTGAGAGTCACAATATTATTTATCAGCTTAATTCTCTCAATTCTCTCTTGATGAGCTAGATTTAGCTGTCTTCCCACATTTAGCCCCTTTGCAACCTACGAAATCATTTGCCCTTCCTGAGTTTGGATGTCCCTATTTCTTTATTAATTTCCTGGTTTATATTGTTTTCTCTGGATACTCTAACATTGTACAATACACATATAGTTAAAAATTTAGAAAAAGTGTTGTATGCTCTATGTATATGTAATTTTCCATTTCTATTCAGCAATAATGGAGGCCACTCCTAGGTCTAGACTTCCTTTGTACCTCAACATTCAACCCTCTAGGCTTGACCCCTAAATTCCCATGCAGACACTCAGTAAGCTTCATCACTTCTATCTAATCTGTTCTATTCTGACACATCTAGCAACAGAAATGCCCTCAGCAATAAAAACCAGGGATGCTATATCCCAAAACACGTTAAAGTGTTTCTCTGTCAATAAAATATTCAATGAATGAAAATTTTAAGAACTTTACCTTGAGGGCCTCAAACGTAAGCAGGACATCATTAGTCTGTTTCAGGTCAATATAGAACATCATCAATTCTCGTGATCCAAGTTGCATGAATATGGGAAGTAACTGAAATGAAAACCAAAACCAAGCCTCAAATTTTGACTTGATTTTTACTTATTTCCTATTCCCTTATGACAAAGGAGGATTAAAAAAATGAAACATCTCACCCCTTCTCCCCTTCTACCTTATGAAGAACAACATATAAACCCATTCTGGTCAAACAGATCTTAGCAGAAGTGATCTGCATGATACTTTACCAGTTTGAAGCAAAGACTTTTCTGTGTAGAGTAAGAACATATTAATGTATAAAATTTACTAGATATAAAGTAGTCCTGAAGTGAGAACAGCACTCTTCCCAATTAGCTTACCTCCTGATACTCTCCTAGAGGGGTCAAATACTGAAGAATGAGGCGCTGCTCAATAGCAGGAGTCATAGGATAAAGGGTGTAATTGGTCCCAATCACCCAGGGGGACATTTCTGACCAGCTGCTATTAGACAGCTCAACAAACACGCGATCTGGATCCGAAGAGGAGAACCCCAACTTCTGCTTGGCTTTCCTAAAGTTCTCTCTATCACCCTGTTTTGCTGACTTGTTTTTCTTCAGTCCTCCTTCCTCAGGTTTGGTTACTGAATTCACTCTACTACTGGTCTTGTGGCTTGAATCAAGATGAAAGGAGATCTCCACGTCTCCAGAAGCTTCCTCTTGTTCTCCATCCACTGCATCTCCCGTCATGTCACCATAGTCCATATCCACAGCTTCCTCATCCAGAGGCAGAAGGGGCTCAGAAGAGAGCTTCCGTGGGCTGGGACGTTTGCTTTCTAGCCGCGAAGCCACTTCCTGAAGCTGTAGCTCCCTCAACCTTCGAAGCACTATAGCCACCTATCAGCAGATACAGAATAAAAGGAGTTATTTCTCACGAATCTTCACATAAGTGACTCAATAATAATTCTTATTTCCACTTAAGGAGAAGTGGATACTCATGCATTAGTCCAGTGTCTAGTATTAGATTTGATAAATATACTGACTTGGGTTCTATAATTTGGTGAAATAAACAGCAGCCTCAAAGTTCTGCTCCCATAAAATCTTACAGAAAATCTAAACTAGGGCCAGCGCCATGGTTCACTTGGTTAATCCTCTGCCTGCAGTGCCGACATCCCATATGGGCACTGGGTTCTAGTCCCGTTTGCTCCTCTTCTAGTCCAGCTCTCTGCTGTGGCCCGGGAGGGCAGTGGAGGATGGCCCAAGTGCTTGGGTCCCTGCACCCACATGGGAGACCAGGAAGAGGCTCCAGGCTCCTGGCTCCTGGCTTCAGACTGGCGCAGCGCCGGCGGTAGCGGCCATTTGGGGGAGTGAACCAATGGAAGGAAGACCTTTCTCTCTGTCTCTCTCTGTCTATAACTCTACGTTTCAAAAAAAAAAAAAAAACCACAAAAAAAAAAAACTAAACCCGAAGATGTATATGCAAAACACATCATCCACAAATCCACCTATCTCAAATGATCTCTTTGGGTCAAGTAGGGCTGGACCATCACATCTGAGGAGGCAGAAACTAGATACAGTCATGCTTTTTAAAAAGTTTCTTTGAAAACCGAACATGAGGGTTTCTCAAACTTTTAGCTACTGTACGTTGTATTCTGTTTAACATTGTCATCTAAAATGTACATAATTACAAAATCTATTTTTCAGGTTCACTTTTTTTCTCTCTTAAGTAATTACTTTTTGGGTCAACCCTAAAAGCTGGTATCATGCTTAGTTTTAAAAAAGAGAGGTGGCCGGCGCCGCGGCTTACTAGGCTAATCCTCCGCCTTGCGGCGCTGGCACACAGGGTTCTAGTCCCGGTCGGGGCGCCGGATTCTGTCCCGGTTGCCCCTCCTCCAGGCCAGCTCTCTGCTGTGGCCAGGGAAGTGCAGTGGAGGATGGCCCAAGTCCCTGGGCCCTGCACCCCATGGGAGACCAGGATAAGTACCTGGCTCCTGCCATCGGATCAGCGCGGTGTGCCTGCCGCAGCGGCCATTGGAGGGTGAACCAACGGCAAAAGGAAGACCTTTGTCACTCTCTCTCACTGTCCACTCTGCCTGTCAAAAAAAAAAAAAAAAGAGAGAGAGAGAGAGAGAGGTATGTCTTCAATTTTTGAACTAGTTTAAGAACAAATTAGAGGGGCTGGCATTGTGGCAAAGCAGGTTAAAGCCCTGGCCTGAAGCGTCGGCATCCCATATGGGCGCCGGTTCTAGTCCTGGCTGTTCCTCTTCTGATCCAGCTCTCTGCTATGCCTGGGAAAGCAGTAGAAGATGGCCCAAGTCCTGCGTGGGAGACCCAGAGGAGGCTCCTGGCTCCTGACTTCAGGTCAGCGCAGCTCCGGCCGTTGCAGCCATCTGGGGAGTGAACCAGCGGATGAAGACCTCTCTCTCTGTCTCTACCTCTCTCTGTAACTCTTTCAAATAAATTTTTTAAAAAATCTTAAAAAAAATTAGAATGGAAAATGAACAGAAAGGCAAGCAGATGGTTATGTAGTCAAGTTTAGTAAAATGCTCACAATCAATTTAGCTGGTATATAAACAACTGTTCACTGCAAAATTAAACTTCGCTGTGAGAGTATTTCAAACATTTGTAAGGTAAGTTTAGGGACCAGTGCCATGGTGTAGTGGGTGAGCTGCCACCTGCAGTGGCTGACATCCCATATGAGCACCGGCTGAAGTCCCGGCTGCTCCACTTCTGATCCAGCTCTTTGCTTCCTGGGAAAGCAGTACAAGACAGCCCAAGTGCTTGGGCCCCTGCACTCATGTGGGAGATCTGGAAGAAGCTCCTGGCTCCTGGTTTTGGATCGGCACAGCTCCGGCCACTGCAGCCATCTGGGAAGTAAACCAGCAGATGGAAGACCTCTTTCTCTGTCCCTGCCTGTTTGTAACTCTGCCTTTCAAATATATAAATAAATCCTTAAAAAGAGCTAAGTTTATTTGCAAAATATTTTGAAATCATATATACATGGAGTCTTCAAAAAGTTCATGGAAAACATCTATTATATAAAAACTATGCATGGGTTTAAGTTTTTTGTTTGTTTGGTTTGGTTTTTGTTTTTAGATTTTACTTATTTGAAAGGCAGAGTTATAGAAAGAGGTAGAGCCAGAGAGAGAGGTCTTCCATTCCACTGGTTCACTCCCCAAATGATCACAACAGCCAGAGCTGAGCTGATCCGAAAAGCCAGGAGCCAGGAGCCTCCTCCAGGTCTCCCACACACGTGAAGGGGCCCAAGACTTGGGCCACCTTCTAACGCTTTCCCAGGTCATAGCAGAGAGCTGGATCAGAAGAGTATCAGCCGGGACTTGAACCAGAGCCCATATGGGATGCCGGCGCCACAGACTGGGGCTTTAACCCACTGTGCCACAGCGCCAGGCCCTAAGTTTTTTTTTTTTAAATGAGAAAAAGTTCTCTCTTTTTGAAAATATTTATTCAAGAGCACCTCCTAACAGTCCAGAAGAATATGTCCTCAGTGGCTGATCAGCCTCTGGGGTCCATCTGACAGAGATAAAGAGTGGAGCACTCCCATTCATTGGTTCACTTCCCGAAAGTCCACAATGGCTGGGACTGGGCCAGGGTTGAAGCCAGGAACTCAATAAAGCTCTCCCACATGGATGGCAGAAACTTAATTACTTGAACCATTACCAGTGTCTCCCAAGGTTTATGTTAGCAGTAAGCTAGAGTCAGGAGCCAGAGCAATGCATCAAACCCAGGTACTCCAATATGGAATGCTGGATTCTTAACTGCTAGGCTCCACACCAACTGTCTTTTAATTCCACTTTCCAGGAATTTTTAAGTGCTCTTGTTTATCAAAAAATTTCATAGCACAAATGCTGAAGAGGATAATATTCTTCATTTTATATAAAATGTCATGATCCTTCAGCCAACATTATGGAGCAACAGGTAAAGCCGCCACCTGCAATGCAACCACCCCATATTGGAGCACCTATTTTGAGCCCCAGCTGCTCTACTTACAATCCAGATTCCTGCTAATGTGCCTGGAAAGGCAGTCAAAGATGGCACAAGAACGTAGGTCCCTGGCCCCGATGTGGGAGACCCAGATGGAGTTCCTGGATCCTGGCTTCAGCTCTGCCCAGACCTGGCAGTTGCAGCCATTTGAGGAGTGGAAAGGTATCTATCTTTGTCTGTCTGTCTCTCTCTCTTCCCCCTTACCCCTGCCTTTCAAATAAATAAGTAAATCTTAAAAATTAAAAAATTCTTGAAAAGATAAAAAAATAGCTATTTTCATGTTTTAGAAGTAAAACAAACTCTTATAGCAAATATTCTTGAAATACAGAAGCTATAAGTTATATTCGAGTACAAGGTAGTAAAACAGAATCTACAACTTCAGATTCAAGTAGCAAGAAAGAACTCATGCATACACTCTCATATTATAGAAAAATTCGTTCTAAGGTGGTCCTTACCAATTGTGAATTTTCATCCCTGTAGTTGGCAGCAATGTCTTGATTTTCCATAGCACCTCCTAACAGTCCAGTAGAATATGTCCTCAATGGCTGATCAGCCTCTCGGGCCCATTTGAAAAGATTCTCAACAATTCCTTCCTATAGTAAAGGAAATTAATAGTACAATTCTGAAAAAGCTCATTTTCATAATTAAAGACATAAACAAAAATTTCAATCTTGCGGGAAAAAAATGTTAATAATTTTAATGCTGTTCCTAAGAGTAAAAAATGCCGTTAAGAGTCAACAGTACGTGACTTATTTAAATAAAATATCTGCATCTGTGCAACAGAATTCAAGTTAGTCAATAAAACGCAAGTTAACAATCAACTATTCCCCAGAATATTTTAGACATTAACTCCCAAAAGGTTCCATGATGAATGAGGGAGCAACTAAAAGTATCCTTTAAGTTTACAATACAATACATAAGTAACATACTTATGCTGAGAAGTCCTCCATCAAAGAAATATTCAACTGCATATATCCCAAACTTTTTCATTAGCTCTTATTATAAAATACAATAAAACAAACATGCACGGTCCACAGAGAATGAAAATAAACTATGTCGACCACCCAGCTTAAGGAATACAAACCTCCCACGTGCCTCTCCCTATACCACACTTTTTCCTTCTCCCAAGGAGTTAATTACTACTAAATTCTAACAATTTTGTTAAATTCTTAAAGTTTTATATACTTTTAACTGTGTAAATTGTGGCATTATATGTATTTTTTCTCCAACTTGTTTCTTTTTACTTGTTTTATTTGAGAAACAGACAAAGAGAAACTGAGCTCCCACAACTTACTGATAGACACTGTGAATGCCAACAAAGGCCAGGGTGGCTAAAGCCAGGAGTCCAGAAACTCAATAAAGGTCTTCCACGTTGGTGGCAGGAACTCAATTACTTGAACCATCATCACTGCCCCCAGGGTCAACATTAGCAGGAAGCTGGACTCAAGAGCCACAGCTGAGAATCAAACTCAGGGATGTGGGATACAACCACCTTAACCATTACGCCAAATGCCAATTCCTGCAACTTACTCATTCTATTCAATAGTATGTTTCTTGGATTCATCTGTATTGCTGCATATAGCACATTAAAACAGTACTCACAAAGGCTGCAGATATTAATTTACTTAATCCTATATGATTATCAACTTTTTATCACTGAGTATTTTTGTAGATGAGGAAAACTAGTCACAGTGAGGTTAAGTAACTAAAGTCATCAAGCTTATTAAGTGGCAGAGCTAGGATATGACCCCAGAAAGTATACCTCCAGATGCTAATTACCTCCACAATTTGCTGCTGCTTTTTGTTGGCTTGACCAACAATATCAGAAACTATTCTTATGCATGCCAAGTCCCTAGCATTGACACATAAGAACTGCTTAACTCACAAGGTATGCACACGTTCAACTTTATAAACTTTCCAAAGTCATCACAACAATTCAAATTCCTACCAAGTGAATAAAAGCTTTTTTTCCTACATCTTTGCCAACACTTGACCACTATCAGACTTTTTCTTTCTGGCAAACTAATGGGCATAAAAACAGTATTTCATTTTGACTTCCTTGTTCATTAGCGAGGTTCGGCATTTTTTCACGTATTTGTAGCTCCCTCAGGTCTTTGCTTTTCTGAAATACTCTTGCATTTGCCAGTGTGTTTCATTAAACACAAGTTCTTTATTTTTACATAATCATACTTAATATTTACTTTTCTATCTTCAGTTACTCCAGAGGTTGATAATCATTTTCCTACATATCATCAGGAATTTCAACCATTTAAAAAAATAATAGTCTGGGGGGTAGGCATGTGGCACAGCAGTTAAGTTACCACTTGGGACCCTGCATCCCCCTTCACAGTGCCTGGCTGAAGTCTCAGCTATTCTGCTTCCTAGCCAGCTTCCTAATGCACACCCTTGGAGGCAGACGATGGCTCAAGCACTTGTGTTCTAGTCACTCGTGGGGGAAACCTGAATTGAGTTTCAGCTCCTGGCTTCAGTGTGACCCAGCCCTTCTGTTACAAGCATTTGAAGAGAGAACCAGGGGATGGAAGACCTGTGTCTGTCTCTCTTTCAAGTGAAAACACAAAAATGAATAAAGTTGCTCCCACTTTTAAAAAATTAAAACTCTAAAGATCACATTTTGAGAAACTCTGTTGTAAAAAATTTACTGATATGGAATATATTAGCCACCTATTTCAAGTGTCTTTTATTGTTTCCTTTTTCAGGAATTTTAAAAAGTTAACTATCCTTTTTCACCTACATATTACCTAAATTTATAAATTTTTTATTTATTTTCAACTTACTTAAACAGTAGAGAGACAGACATAGATCTTCTATCTGCTACTTCACTCCACAAATGCCTGCAACAGCCAGGGCTGAGCTAGGTCCAAGCCATGAGCCTGGAACTCAATGCAGATCTCCCACAATGGGTGGCAAAGATCAAAGTATTTGAGCCACTACCTGCAAACTCCCAGATGGCACATTATTTCTAGGAAACTAGAGAGGAAACAAAGGAGCTGGGAATTCAATCAGGCATGCCAGTAAGGAGTGTAGGTGTTCCAAGCAGTATCTTAACCGCTGCACCAAACACCTAGTCCTATCTATCTATGGTTTTTGTTCTACTTTTTGCACTCCAGAATTATTTTTTTGATCAATGTATTTAGATTTACCAAAATAATCTGAAGACACTGTCTGCTATCTTCTGGCTTCTACTTCTACCACCACAGTAAAGGCTGCTATTTGATTATCTGCAGCAATCCTTTTTTTTTTTTTTTTTTTTTTTTTTGACAAGTTACAGACAGTGAGAGGGAGAGACAGTGAGAAAGGTCTTCCTTCCGTTGGTTCACCCCCTAAATGGCCACTACGGCCGGCAACTGTGTCGATCTAGAGCCAGGAGCCAGGAGCCAGGCACCTCCTCCTAGTCTCCCACGCGGGTGCAGGGACCAAGCACTTGGGCCATCCTCCACTGCCCTCCCAGGCCACAGCAGAGAGCTGGAATGAAAGAGGAGCAACCGGGACTAGAATCCGGCGCCCATATGGGATTCCGGCAACCCAGGCAGAGGATTAGCCAAGTGAGCCACGGCGCCGGCCCTATCTGCAGCAATCTTTTTACTCTGATTGCTCTGAATTTTTTTGGTATTTCTCATCATGCTTCCTCTTTCTGAATGGTCATTTCTTTCATTAATTTGTAAAATCCTAGCCTTATCTCTAAGATCACCTTGCTCATCTCTTGTATTTTCTCTTCCTGAAACTACTTTTAGAAACACTATGAATTTCTAATTCTAGCCCATGTCTCAACTTCGTTCTTATTTTTAATCTTATTTCTAGAAAACCATTATTGATTATCCCATCAGATCCTCCAGTCCATTATATCTTCAGCTGTGTCTAAATATTATTGTAAACATTTTTTTTAATTCAGTAACTGTAATTTTCATATCTAGCAGTTCCCTGGTTCATTTCCCAAATGGCTATTTTTCTTTTCAGAGTGTCTTGGATCTGACTCCTTATTTTATATCCAATAGTATTTTGTTTTGTTTTTTTGTTTGTTTGTTTTTTACAGGCAGAGTGGACAGTGAAAGAGAGAGAGACAGGAGACAGAGAGAAAGGTCTTCCTTTGCCGTTGGTTCACCCTCCAGTGGCCGCCACGCTGCAGCCAGCACACCGCGCCCATCCGAAGCCAGGAGCCAGATGCTTCTCCTGGTCTCCCATGGGGTGCAGGGCCCAAGGACTTGGGCCATCCTCCACTGCACTCCCGGGCCATAGCAGAGAGCTGGGCTGGAAGAGGGGCAACTGGGACAGAATCCGGCGTCCCGACCAGGACTAGAACCTGGTGTGCTGGCGCCGCTAGGTGGAGGATTAGCCTATTGAGGCGCAGCGCCGGCCTCCAATAATTTTTAAACTATTTTTAAGTAAAAAAAAAAAAAAAAATTCAGTGAGATTAAATACCTTCACAGTGTTATATAACCATTACAGTATCTATTTTTCAGAACTTCTTCATTATCGCCTACAGAAACTCTGTACACTCCCCTACTTTCAATAAAGGATAGGACAACTGGAGGACTTAAGTAACACACAAACCAATCACACCATGGATGTCCCAGTTTTTTGAGGAGTCAGGATTTCAGTTCCAACTCCTCAAAGTTTTTTTTGTTGTTTTTTTTCCTATATTCAATGTTACTATTTAGATTTTACAGTTTTTCATTTTTAGCACCTAGGGACTTACTTTTCTAAGAGTTTAATATTATAGTTATCCAAGAATTTATGTTTGTACAAGGTTTTATTTTATTTATTTTTTTTTTTTTTTTGGTGACAGGCAGAGTTAGACAGTGAGAGATACAGAGAGAAAGGTCTTCCTTTGCTGTTCGTTCATCCCCCAAATGGCCGCTATGGCAGGCATGCTGCGCTGATCTGAAGCCAGGAGCCAGGTGCTTCCTCCTGGTCTCCCATGCGGGTGCAAGACACAAGGACTTAGGCCATTCTCCACTGCCTTCCTGGGCTACAGCAGAGAGCTACAATGGAAGAGGAGCAACCAGGACAGAATCCGGCGCCCCAACCGGGACTAGAACCCGGGGTGCCAGCACCGCAGGCAGAGGATTGGCCTAGTGAGCCTCGGCGCCGGCCAAAAGAGAAGAATTCTTAAACTGCTCTGGTTAGTTATCTTGACAGACCTA